TTTATCTTCTGCTGTTTGTGTATATTGGGTTATGCTTGACAGTCAATTTATGCCATAAATTATGGACCCAAACTTTGCACCTGTTTTTTCCTTGAAGAACTTCATAGTTGTAGGTTTCACACTTAAGTCTTTGATCCATCTGGAGTTACTTACATTGTATGGTGTGAAGTATGGGTCATGTTTCATTTTCCTTCAAATGGATATTCAGTTTTCCCAGTGCCATATGTTATAGAGACCATGTCTTCCCCATTTAATGGCTATCAGCATTTTGTCAAAACTCAGCAGACCACAGGTGTATGGATCCATTTCTCAGTTCCACTCGTCTGTGTGTCTGTCTTTATGCTAATACCAGACAGTTTTGACTACTGTGGCTGTATAGTAGGTTTTGAGAACTGGGAGAGTGAGACCTCCTACTTTATTCTTCCTCAAAACTGCTTTTCTTATCTGAGGTCTGTTTCCTTTCCATATAAAATTATTGATTGGTTTTTCCATATTCTTAAAGAATGTTGGTGGGATCTGGATTGGCATTGAACTTAATATATAGATTGCTTTAGGTACAAGTGACATTTTCACAATGTTCAATCTTCTTATCCATGAGCATGGTATGTTCTTCCATTTTTGTAGATCTCTTTTGATTTCCTGAAGCATTGTTTTGCATTTTTCTTTGTACAGGTCTTTTGAGTCCATGCTAAGATTTATTCCCAAGTTTTTTTTGTTTTGTTTTGTTTTGTTTGTTTGTTTGTTTGTTTGGTAGCTATTGTAAATGGTATTGATTGACTTACTTCTTTTTCTGCAATCTCTTTGTTGGTATAGAGGAATCCAACTGATTTTTGGAAGTTGATCTTGTATCTCCCCACTAAGCTAAATCTCTCAATTAGTTCCAATAGGTTTTTTTGCTGAGTCTGTTGGATTTTCATTGTATACAATCATATCATCAGCAAATAAGAATAGTTTTACTTCTTCCTTACCAATTTGGGTGCCTTTGATTTCCCTCTCTTGCCTTACTTCCCTGGCTAGGACTTCCAATACAATGTTGAATAGAAATGGTGAAAGAAGACATCCTTGTTTGGTTCCTGTTCTCAAAGAGAATAGTTTCAGAATCTCTCCACTGAGAATAATGTTGGCTGTTGGTTTTGCATATATGCCCTTTATTATGTTGAGGAATGTCCCTTCTATTCCTATTTTGTTGAGAGTTTTGATCAGGAATGGGTGTTGGATTTTATCAAATGCCTTTTCTGTATCAATTGATATGATCATGTGGTTCTTCTCCTTTGTTTGATTTATGTGATGGATGCCATTGATTGTTTTTCTGATGTTGAACCATCCTCACATACCTGATATGAACCCCACTATTTCAGTTACCTAGTATAGCTCTGAAAAGAATATACCATAAATGGGATGGCTTGAAGAAACAGGAATTTATTCTCTTACAGTTTGGAGGTTTTAAATCCAAGTTCAAAGTGCCAGGCTCTATGGGCTGGGTAAAAAGCTCCCAACCTTGGGCTTCAGCTCTGCCTCTTGCTCCCGGACCACTGAAGCTAGAGGCTTTTCTTCAGTCAGCTGCTGGCTCTTGAGGCTTACAAGCCCAAGGTTGACAAGTAAAAAGGCATAGTGCCGATGTTACCAAACCACATGGCAGGTCATTAATTCAAGTCGATTGAAAGTCCCAAGGTCGGCAGAGCATGGCAGGCTGCTGAACAATGACACAGCTACATGCCAGGTTCAAACATGCCATAAGCCAGAGACCATCCCCCAAAGCTTCTCCTTATATACAGGAAGTTGATCACATTCCTAAGGCAGCCACTGAGCTGCTCAAAATAGATTCTACCATGGAGCTGAATACCAGTCTCATCTCAGGGAATACTACATCCAGATGCCCAGACTCTCAACAATGGCCAGCCAAGATGACATGCAAACTCAACTACCAACTCACTTGATCATAATGTATTATTATTTTTTGGATATGTTGTTAGAGTTTATTGACTAGGACTTTGTTGAAGATTTTTGCATTTATATTCATGAGGGATATTGGTTGTAGTTTTTCTTTGTAGTGATGTCTTTGCTTGGTTTTGGTATCATGGTTATGCTTGCTGCGTAAAATGCATTTGGGAGGATTCCATCATTTTCTATGTTGTTGAATATTATGACTAGGATTGGTGTCAGTTCTTCTCTGAAAGTTCAGTGAAATTCTCCAGTGAAACCAACTGGGCCAGGGCTTTTTTTGTTGTTGTTGGCAATTCTGTTATGATCTGTTCAATTTCTTCTTTTGTGATGGGCCTGTTCAAATTGTCCACTTCAGTCTGTGTTAGTTTAGGAAAGTAGTATTTTTCTAGAAATCTGTCAATTTCTTTCAGATTTTCTAATTTTTTGGAGTATAGTTCTTCATAGAATCCTGATATTATTGTTTTTATTTCAATTGGTTCTGTTGATATGTCACCCATTTCATTTCTTATTCGTGTTATTTGTATTCTCTCCCTCTTTTCCTTTGTTAAATTTGCCAGTTGCTGGTCAATTTTATTAATCTTTTCAAAAAACCAACTTCTAGCCTTATTGATTTTTCTACAGTCTTTCTATTTTCTGTTTCACTTATTTCTGCTCAAATCTTTATTATTTCTTTTCTTCTGATGACTGTAGACTTTTTTTGCTGCTATTTTTCTAATTGTTGGAGATGTTGGGTTAAGGTGTAGATTTTGGCTCTTCTTTTTTGATGCATACATTTATTGCTATAAATTGGCCTCTGTAACTGCTTTTGCTGTGTCCCAAAGATTTTTTTTGGTGGTGGTGGTAATTCTTTTATGATCTATTCAATTTCTTCTTCATGAGGAACCTGTACATAGACCAGGAGGCTGTCATTCGAACAGAAAAAAAAGGAACACTGTATGGTTTAAAATCAAGAATGGAGTGCATCAAGGTTGTATTCTTTCATTTATTTAATCTGTATGCTGAGTAAATAATCTGAGAACCTGGACTATATGAAGAAGAATGTGGCATCAAGATTGGAGGAAGAATCATTAACAACCTGCAATACACTGACCACACAACTTTGCTTGCTGAAAGTGAGGATGACTTGAAGTACTTACTGATGAAGATTGTAGAATAGTCTGCAGTAGGGGTTACATCTCAATATAAAGAAAACAGAAATCCTCAAAACTGGACCTATAAGCAGCATCATGATAAATGGAGAAAAGATTGAAATTGTCAAAGACTTCACATTGCTTGGTTCTACAATTGACACCAACGGAAGCAGCATTCAGGACATCAGACAACAAATAACACTGGGCAAATCAGCTGTGAAGGACCTCTTTCAAGTGCTGAAGAGCAAAGATGTCTTCTTGAGGACTAAGGTGCACCTGACACAAGCCATGGTATTTTCAGTCACTTCATATGTATATGAGAACTAGACAATGAATAAGGAAGACCAAACAAGAAATGATGCTTTGGAGCTGTGGTGTTGGCGAAGAATGCTGAAAGTACCGTGGACTGCTATAAGAACTATCAGGTCTGTCCTGGAAGAAGTGCACCCAGAATGCTCTTTGGAGGCAAGAATGGCGAGACTTCGTCTCACATACTTTGGTCATGTTGCCAGAAGAGACCATTCCCTGGAGAAAGATGTCATACTTGGTAAGGTGGAGGGTCGATGAAAGAGGGGAAGGCCCTCAACATAATGGATTGACACCGTGGCGGCAGCGATGGGCTCAAGTATAGCAAGAATCATGGAGCTGGCTCAGGACTGGGCAACATTACATTCTACTGTGCATAGGGTCACTGTGAGTTGGAGATGACTTGACGGCACCTAACAACAACAAAAACAAAGATTTTGGTATGTTGTGTTTTCATTCTCATTTGATTCAATGAATGTTTTAATTTCAGTTTTTCTTTTTTCTATTACCTAGTCTTTTTTAAGGAAGGTGTTATTCAGCTTCCACGTATTAGCTCTTTTTCGATCAATCGTCCTATTTTTGATACCTAATTTTATAGCATTATTATCTGAGAAGCTGCTTTGAAATATTTCAGTGCTTTTAATTTATTGAGGCTTGCTTTGTGGCCTAACAAATGGCCAATCATGGAGAATGTTCTATGTGCACTGGAAAAGAATGTATATTGTGTTGTTGTTGGGTAAAGTGCTCTGTAGATGTCTATAAAGTCAAGTTTGGTATTGCATTGTTTAGTTCTTCTGCATGGTTGTTAACTTTCTTTCCATTTGTTCTATCTTTCATTGAAATTAGTGCGTTAAAGTCTCCTACTATAACTATGTAGTCATCTATTTGTCTTTTCAATTCTGTTAAAGTCTGACTTATGTATTTTGGGGATCTTTCATTGGGTGCATACACATTTGTATTGTTCTCTTTTTTGATAGATCCTTTAATCATTATATGATGTCCTTCCTTGTCTCTTATGGTGGTTTTTGCTTAAAAGTCAATTTTATCAGAAATCAATATTGCCACTCCTGCTCTTAAAAAGTAGTCACTGTTCTAATAATTCCTCTATATCAATGCTTGACGATCCCTGGGAGGCAAAAATGATTTGAGTTTGGGTACTAAACAGAAGGATTTCTTGTGGTGTGGTGTGTAGTTAAGGCATTTGGCTGCTAACCAAGAGGTCAGTGGTTCAAATTCACCAGCCAGCTACAGAAAAGAGATGAGCCACTCTGCTTCTGTAAAGATACATAGCCTTGAAAACCCAACAAGGGTCACTATGAGTCAGAATTGACTCCATGACAGTGAGTGAGTGTTAATCAAATGATTGGTAGTTCATAGAAACACTACATAAGTAAGGTCTGGAGATCTGCATCCATGAAAATTACAGCCAAAGGGGGAAAAAAAGAAAACAACCTATGGAGCTGTAGTACATGGCATTGTCATGAGTTGGAATTGAGAACAGGTTTGGTTTTTGTTATCAATATCTAATTTTTTTTTCTCTTAAATTTTTGTGGCCAAATCTTTAAATTTTGTTCATTATTTTGTGGCTGTTTTACAATGAAGCAAATTCTTTCTTCACAGGAATTTGAAGAATTTGTCCAGAGCTCTGGAAAACATGGTGTTGTGGTATTTACTTTGGGGTCAATGGTCCGTAACGTCACAGAAGAAAGGGCCAATACTATTGCATCAGCCCTTGCTCAGGTTCCACAAAAGGTTAGATAAGATGACTTAATGGTGAGAAAGTACTTAACTACTCTGTTTAACTCTAGAGGCTCTGATTACAGGAATTTTCTGCAGAAAAAAAAAAGCACCTACTAAACCTCTGTATTTCTCATCAGAGTTTTAATGTTAAAGTAATTATCAATTAAAAATATCTTGTATTATTTTAACATCTAATGCAAATACTTTTGTTTTCAAACAAATCTGAGAGAAGTTAAGAACTATCGTGACAGCTTTTTTTCTGCAGAAAATTCCTATAATCAGAGCCTCTAGAGTTAAATGTGTCATTGCTAATCTCTTTTCCTTTAGCTATCATGGGTGAAAAAGACATAATTATATTCTGTAGAAGATAAGATATGAAAATGCATTAATTTAATGAGGGTATTGTTATTTACTTCAATGTTTTAGTAGTTCCAGTTTCTTAACATCTCTTATCCTCACTTCATCTGTCATATGGAAAGGATTGAATAGGTGATCTTTTAATCTATTTGGAAGTGCAATTTCATATTACTTTGAAATACTAATCATGAAATGATGTTGTTGTTCTTTTTATTTTAACAGGTGCTGTGGCGATTTGATGGCAAGAAACCAGATAACTTAGGACCCAATACTCGGCTCTATAAATGGCTCCCCCAGAATGATCTTCTTGGTAAAATGACTAAAAATATGAGTAGCAATCAATCAGAGAGATAACAGCTTAACAGAAAACCAATTATTGAGTATTTAGAATTGAAAATTCAAAAATAATCCATAAGTCATTTATATTTATTTTCTAGTTCTAGAGGGAAAAAAATATAATATGTAATATTGGTATGTACAGACATAATCGTTATGGCCAGAAGCATATTATTTCAAGTGTAACCACCTCTTATGTGGAATTTTTTAATAGACTCCTGGATCATCTCTCCATCTTCTAATTCTCCTACCTCTTACCTATCCTTTCCACGTATTTCAAATGCAGCTAAACAAAAAAAGACCCTCCTTAGAAGCAGTCACTCTCCATTTTCTATAGAAAAATGATATCCATAATTTGTATCATGATGTGATGAAACATTTCATGATAAAGAATTGCCTTTGCTTTTTCTGAGTCCAGCACCACCACCATCACACTTCCTGTTGCTTTGAAGACCCTACATATCAGCGTCAGCCTTTTCTCTAATTATTTCTTTAACAGAATATACTGTAATGTGTCTTTTTTTGCTCATGTTGTTACATTTACCCAGAATATTCTGCATCAACTTGTCCACCAAGAAATCTTCTATTCATTTTACTTATCTCCAATCACCATCATTTATCCAATGGAGCCCTCATTTATTACTACAGTAGACTTAGGTGCTTTTTACACAAAGATCTAAAAGCATCAAGATCCTTATATTTCCCATTTCCCATTTTATTTCTAAAACTTATAATGAATAATTTTGCTAAATTCTACTCATTCTTAGGTCATCCAAAAACCAAAGCTTTTATAACTCATGGAGGAACCAATGGCATCTATGAAGCAATCTATCATGGAATCCCTATGGTGGGCATTCCCTTGTTTGCAGATCAACCTGATAACATTGCTCACATGAAGGCCAAGGGGGCAGCAGTGAGTCTGGACATAAAGACAATGACAAGTGCAGACTTGCTCAACGCTTTGAACTCAGTCATCAATGAGTCATCGTGAGTAGTTATGTTTCTCTCTCTCTCTCTCTCTCTCTCTCTCTCTCTCTCACTCTCTCTTCAGTGACATTGGGAGAATGATTTCTCAGAGATTTAAGGATAATACACAAGTTTTGAATAACCACTGAACAGAATAAGAAAGCACTGAAGTTGGGAATGGAAGAACTATCAGATGAGAATAAAGTTGAAGCAGTGATCATAAATGTTAAAACAATAATATTCTGCACAGTTGGGTGGTTTTCTCTCAGCATGAGTCTCATTAAGTTTTCAAACTATTCTAAAATGTGTTTTCCCCCACACTGAGGGACACCATTAGCAGCTCAGCCCCCACTGTTCTGACGTCCAGAGAAGATATCCAGGGTTTGTTTTCAAAACAAAACATGATGTATGGTATCAGAAAATGTGAAGCCAATTGATTTTCCATTCAACAATTCATGCACATTTTGTTTTGTGACATTGATTGCAATCCCCACAATGTAACAGCACTCTTCCACTTCCTCCTTGTGTTTCTCTTTCCATTTACCCTTCTTTGCTATCCTTTTCTGCCTTCAGAGCTTAATCCCTGGGTAAAAGCTGCCTTTTTTCACCCTACATCATTCATTGTTCTAAGTATGTACCATCCTAATGTTATTGTTCACTTCATAGGCCTGTCTTTTGCTTGACTGAAAATTGAGCCATAGAATTGAGTTCTGTTCCAGGCTTAAAGAGTGATTAAGGACTATAGTCTCAGCGCTATAATCTCTATCTCTGACAGAGATACAAGCCTCTATCAGACTCTATCAACCTCATCTTTTTTATAATTTTGAGTTTTGTTCTCCGTGTTTCTCCAGAGTGGTCAGAGATGGTAGCTGGGCATCTTCTTCTGGTCTTAAGGTCAAGGAGGCTGAGGGTTACAAAGTTTATTGGTCCTTTGGGCTCATTGTTGTCATGTGTCTTTGCTTTTCTTCACTCTCTTTTGTTTTAAATGAGAGATTAATAGTTGCACCTTAGATGGCTTCTTGCTAGCTTTTAAGACCCCAGGCATTATTCCCCACAGTAGGATATAGAACACTATCTTTGTGAGTCATGTTATATCAATTGATATAGCTATCCTCCATAAAATGGTTTAAGTTTTGTAAACCAACATGACATAATAAAGCTCATATTCCCATTACATCTAATATTTCTGAAAATTTCTATCCTAATAAATTGATCCCTTCACTGACAAATGGTATAAACAACTAGGGCAGAAATTTTATACACTTAAAACCACTGAAAAATTAGATTCTTTTTTTGTGGTTTTTTAGTTTTATTTGGAAGAATTGTAAAGTGAAAAAGTGACTGACTTGGAAAAGTGTTGTTGCTATTGTTAAGTGTCATCTAGTTGGTTCTGCCTCATAAGGACTCAATGCACAACAGAACAAAACACTTGTGCTGCACCATCTGAACAATTGTTGCTGTGTTTTAATCAATTGTCACAGCCATTGTATCAATCCATCTTGTTGGTCTTCTTTTTACCTGATCCTCCACCTTAGCAAGAATGAGATCGTCTCCAGGGAATGGTCTCCTCTGACAACATGACCAAAGTAGGTGAGAAAAAGTCTGGCCATTCTCACTTCCAAGAAGCATCCTGGTTGCACTTCTTCAAGGACAGATTTTTCTGTCATTCTGAAGTCCATCGTGTTTTCAGTATTCTTTGTCAACACCACAGTTCAAAGGCGTTAATTCTTCTTTGCTCTTCTTCATTCATTTTCCACTTTTCAGCACGCATTATGAGGTGATTGATAATACCATATCTTGGGTCTGGTGCACATTAGCCTTCAAAGTGACATCTTTGCTCCCTGACATTTTAAAGACATCTTTAGCAGCAGATTTACCCAATAAAACACATTGTTGGATTTCTTGACTGCAGTTTCCATGGATGTGGATTATGGATCCAAGTAAAATGAAATCCTTGACAATGTCAGTCTTTTCTCCATTTATCATGATGTTGCTTACTGATCCATGTAGAAGAATTTTTGTTCTCTTTATGTTGAGGTATAATCCATACTGAAGCTTTTGATCTTCATCAGTAAGTGCTTCAAGTCTTCTTCATATTCAGCAAGTAAGGTTGTGTCATCTGCATATAGCAGGTTGGTAATGAGTCTTCCTCAAATCCTGAGGCCACACTCTTCTTTATATAGTCTAGCTTTTCAGATTTTCTCAGCAACTAGATTGAATATGTAGAGTGAAACAACACAGCACTGACACACACTGTTCCTGATTTTAAACCATGTAGTATCCCTGTGTTCTATTTGAACAACTGTTTCTTGGACTATGCACAAGTTCCTTATGAGCACAAATGAGTGTTTAGGAATTCCCATTCTTCATAATGTTAGCCATAACTTGTTCTGATCCACGTGGTCAAATGGCTTTGTGTAGTCAATAGGCAAACATTTGTCTGGTATTTTCTGCTTTCAGCCAGGATTCATCAGACATCAGCAATGATATCCTTCATTCTACATCTTCTTTTGAAATATGCTTTAATTACTGGCAGTTCCCTGTCTATATACTACTGCAACCATTTTTTGAATTATTTTCAGCAAAACTTTACTTGCATGTGATATGAATGATATTGTTTGATAATTTTTGCATTCTGTTGGATCACTCTTCATGGGTGGGAATGGGCACAAATACATGCTGGAATGTTCCTGTCTGAAAGTCAACATTTCTTTTTCTTTTTCCTCTTTTTGAACATTTTATTGTGTTTTTGGTGAAAGTTTATGTAGAAAGTTAGTTTTCTAATCAATAATTCAAGCATCAATCATTCCATGACATTGGTTACAATCCTCAGAATGTGTTAGGACTCCCCTTTTGTCCCCTGTGTTCCCTGTTCCTTTCATCCAGTTTCCTTGACTCTTCCTGGCTTCTCATCTTAATTTTGGGCACATGTTTGCCCTTTTGATCTCATATAGTTGTTTTTTCTAGGAAGCTCATTCTTCCAGGGTTTTATTGTTTCCTTTCTTGCCCCACCTGTAAATTGGCTCAATATCATCAGTCAGAACAAGGCCAAAGCAAAACAGATGATCAATTGTTCATATGAAAATTCAACTTGAAGGTGAAGAAACTAAAACAAGACCATGAGAGCCAAAGTATGACCTTGAGTACAACCCACCTGAATTTGGAGATCACCTCAACAATAGGTGTGACATATTGAACACTAAATATCAAAGACAAGATGAGATGTGGGATAACTTCAAGGATATTATACATGAAAAAAGAAAAATGGTAATTAAAAAGAGAGGAACAAAAAAAAAGATCAACATAGATGTGAGATGAGACTGAAACTTGCTCTTGAATGTGGAGTAGCTAAAGTGAATGGAAGAGATAATGAAGTAAAAGCTGAACAAAAGATTTCAAGGGCACTTGATAAAACAAAGTAAGGTATTAAAATGAAATGTACAAAGACCTGGAGTTGGAAAACCAAAAGGGAAGAACAAACTCGGCATTTTTAAAAGCTGAAACAACTGAAGGAAAAATTTCAAGCCTCAAGTTGCAATATTGAAAGATTCTATGGGCAAAATAATGAACACTGCAAGAAGCATTGAAAAAAATGGAAAGAATTGGTGTACTTTAGCACACCTAAAGCACATTTTATTATTTTAAAAGGAATATACGTTTGGTTTTCTGAGTTCATGTAAAAATGTATCTCTTTAGTATAGATATCTTTATATACCTTTTAAATTTTAATTATGGTGGTGCTGGAAAATAAGGATAGTTTATTAGATGATAAATATTGAATGCTTATTATATGACAGCTATCATACTAAGTAATTCACTTGTATTAAGTGATTTTTCTTTATAGTCTTTCCCTATTATATTCCCAAAATACTTCACAATTAGTGCCCTTTTCTCAAAAAGCCATCCCTCCCATTGTGTTTTTTACATAACAGGGAGAGAAGTTCTCTACATCGGTATCGCTGCAGTACCATACTATAGCACTTTGGGATTCAGAGTTCATAAATCAAGTGCCTTTATTCACTCTTTTTCCTTGACCATAATCATTTTCAAGAGAGAAATCAAATACAACTGCAATGTAGAAGTGAAAGTTTGAGCACTATCCAGATTTTAAAATAACAATATTAACAAGAACAACAACAATAATAATAACACTTACTGAGAGTCTACTACATAATAAGAATAATTCCAAGTATTCTAAGACTCAATGCACTATCCCTCACAATAATCAGAGAAACAAGGCACTAACATCATCAATTCCATTTTAACAAAGAGACTATTCAGACATCACAGAGTGATAAAAATAAATTGCTTAACATGACAGCAAGTAAGAATCAGAATCAGGATTCAAACCAAGGAATCCATTTTCACTCTATTAACTATGAAATCACTGACATAAGGTCAATATCAATTTCTGGCCAGCACCAACAGAGATACCCAGTCCTGCCTGTACTTATCCCTGGGACTCATCATGGACAAGCCTCCTATTCTAGGCAGTGGTATTGTTTTGAATCTTGCACATCAGGTCAATTAACAGTTTCTTACTAGATAATTTAAACATATCAAATTATTATGTTTTTCTTTTCTTTTTCTTTTTTTGCCTTTAGGACATAGCTCATTCCATCCTCTATCCTAACAATACATGTATTCTCCAAAATTCTATCTTTCTTTACATCTTGAAATCCCATACTTTCAACAAATCCTAGTGCATAAACTATAATAATCTCAACTCACTGCGATCAAGTCGATCCCAACTCATAGCAACCCCCCCATTGGGTTTCCAAGGTGGTAAATCTTTATGGAAGTAGATTGGCCATTCTTCCTTCCTCAGAGTGGCTGTTGGGTTTGAACTGCCAATCTTCTGGTTAGTGCTCAATATTCCTTAGGCACTGTGCCACCAGAGCTTCTTATAATCATCTCAGAAGAAAATAATATGTGTTTATTCCACTCTTATATAGCACTCATTCTTATCGTTCGCGTGAAATTTTCACAGTTATCCATTCTTGTTTATTCTCTAAGTTGATGTCTATTTGATTTCCCCTTCAGCTATAAAGAGAATGCTATGAAGTTATCAGCCATTCATCATGATCAACCTGTTAAACCCTTGGATCGAGCCGTCTTCTGGGTGGAGTTTGTCATGCGCAACAAAGGAGCCAAGCACCTTCGTCCAGCTTCCCTCAGCCTAACTTGGGCTCAGTACCACTCTTTGGATGTATTAGGGTTTCTACTGGCTTGTGTGGCAATTGTTACTTTTCTTGTCATAAAGTGTTGTTCGTTTGGTTATCAAAAGTTTTTTAAGACAGAAAAAAAGGAAAAGAAGGACTAGGCCTCTGTAAGGCCTAAGACTAATAGGCATGGTAAATGATAACATTACATTTAATTCAGCCACGATGGTTCAAGTTGTGGGAAAATCCTCCACCACACTTTACAAAAGCTGTGCCTGTTCTGATTTCCCCGTATATATTAGCCTTGGTTAATTGTTAGGGTGATAGTTAATCTATTTTTCCTTAAGAAGGAATCGTCCTGTACTTTTGGTAAATTCCTTCTCAATATTCCTCTTGAAATGGACAGTTCCCTTCATCAGATAGATTATATTCAAGGTATTATTCTCATTTTGTAAATTCGGGGGAAAAAAATCTAATTTGATGATTTTATATATAATTGTATAACTGGAAAACAAATGAAACTTCCTAGAGCTTCAACCTGTTGATTTGAAAAGATCAAGAAGTCTGAAATTTTCACTGTGAATTTTCAGGAACATTTTCTATAAAAAGAATGTGCATTCATATGAAATTTATGTATCTCTCAAGAAATATAAAATATTTCTTCATGAAAATTTTCTTCCTTTCAGAAGTTCTGAGAAGTTTTACCTGGCTTCCTACCTGAAATTATAGAATTCTGTAAAGTCTTTGATTAGAAAGACTGAAGATATTTTCCACATTAAATATGCTTGAATTATTGTTCTCCCTTTATTGAATGACCATTTGTAATTGGATTAAGACATAAAATAGAAGGAGAGAGTAGCTTCCTTGATTAGGAATGAGAGATGGGGTCCAACAAGTTTAGTCCAGTACCTCTGGATAATAATGTTAAAAGATCTCTAATAAGAGCTCTCATTTTTCACCTTATCTTATTGATTCACATGCTGTAATACCCAACATTCTTAGGATATGGAAACCAGAACTCTATATAAATCTTTTCATTGATTATTCCCACAATCACACAGAAAAAGTAAGTTGGAGACAGAATAAACAGTTATATTTTGTTATGTGCAACAACTTTTAAAACCTATGCACTAAGAAAGCATTTGAAATGACAATAAGGTCTCCAAACTTGTCTTTGAATATCAGTAATCAGAATCTTTGAATGCCAAACAAATGAACCCAGAGAAAAGCAGGCCACTTCTTTTTAGTTTCTTATGCCTGATAAGAGGTACTTTAGACATTTAGATTTGGAAGACAGGCATACACTTTTGACATCTGAAAATTTTTATAACACTCTTCTATATGACAAATAGGAGTCCATAGGTGGCACAAATGGTTAGGTGATCAACTACTAACTGAAAGGTTGGTGGTTTGAACCAACCCAGAGGTCCCTTAGAAGAAAGAGCATAGCCTTCAAAGCCCTATGAAGTGCAGCTCTACTCTGCACACATGGGGTCTCCATGAGTTGGAATCTACTCAACAGCGAATGGTTTCATTTTGGTTTTTGTTTCTACATGACAAAGACATTTTCAGTAATAAAGTAAATGAAATTAATTAGAATAATAATGGTCAGGAAAGAAACAATGAATATCTTATTTTACTAATCTTGTATCTCCTATTAAGCTTTGAAACATGCCATTAAAAACTAAAAAATAAAATGTTATGATACAAAAAGAAGAAAAGTAATGCATTAGTGCTTTTTTATTACATTAATGTTGACTTTTTTTAATTTTTTATTTTTTTGACTTGAGGGTAACTACACAACTACACATTAGTTTGAGACAATAATAAAGCTCAACATGTACTACCAAGGCCAAATTCCTGTCTATTTCATTTTCAAGAAATAATTTTTGCACATGTTAATGACTTTGTCAAAACTGATTTCTTTGCAATTCATAGACCATAGAGCCAAAAGCATCAATTGATATCTACTCATAGATAATCAAAGAATGCTTTTTTTGTGTTACTTTATATAGTTAAGAAAAGGCTGAAACGTAAAGGTACATTCAGCAGAAAGTCATAAAAATTCCATTTATTAAATTCCACAATTTGCAATATAGTCCATCTATTATTTCCGCAGGATTGCTATAGCAACTTTCAAAAGTCTCAGCAGTCAAAAAAATTCAAATGCAAATAAAAGCTTCAAGTGGTCACACAGAATGACAAAATTAAGATAATTTTTCACATTTATAATCTCTGTCCCAGCATTATTTATTTCAGATTAAAGTTTAAAGGCAGGAATATGCATACATCACAGGAGTTGGACACAAAAATCAATGCATATGAACTTAATCTTGAAAAACATATGAAACTAAGTCTATGCCGAAGACTGACTGTATAAGTAGGGGTTTTCTGAATTAATTTCCATATAGAATGCAATATTTATTAAAGGATACATAGTACAAATATACTAATCATAAGTTTCATATTCATCCTTAAAACCCAACAATAATCATTATCATTACTAATGATAATAATAATCAAGAGGGAAGGAACCGTGTCAGAGATATATCACTCCAGTGCTTCCTACTAATAAAGCTTAACATACAACCAACTGCAAATGAGAAATACTTAGAGGGTCCAGATTCAATAACAAAAAGTTGAATTTGAAACTGAGAAACAATCAATCAAAAACTGGCACAGCAGACGATATCTGAATTTTTTTCGTTTACTGAAATTCCAAAATCTTTTCTGTCAGATTCAGATGAATGAGAGGCATAACTTCCTCAAAAACAAAGTATCTGGAAGGAGGATAGGTAGAGATCAAGTAATAGAGTCCTGACAAAGATTATCTTATAGTAGGTCCATTGGGTCTGCATTCCTAACCATGATCAGTTCTCTAGACTGCAAATGTAGAAACAGAATGCTAGCAAGTTGAATTTTTGGTGGCAACAATAACTAGATCAGTCTTGGTTCAAAAGAGTCTATTCAGCTGGGTCTAATCCCATCACCACTCTGTTCATGCACCCACAAACTAACACTGGAATGACAAATTATTTAGTCCTTTATCTATGGTAGTGTTAATTTTTACCAATTCAAGGTATATGAAAATGTATTTGCAAGAATAATTTCTTTAAGAAGGATCAACATAAGTCTGGTCCCTATGACACAGAGGTTAAACATGTCCCAAATGTCCAACTTTTCCAAACTGCTGTATCACTCCATCATCTCTAACATAAACTATGACTCCTCCCCTCAGTGCTCTCCCTCCTACATTATAGTTCCATAATTCACTGCAACATCTCACAGAACTCACAAATGACAAACAACATAGTTCATGCAGTTATGGAGGCTGGCAAATCCCAAACCCATGGGTCAGGTGTCAGTCCGGAGGATTCTCTTCACTCATATGGTTGCAGGGGTGGTTGAACCCAAATCATCAAGTCACGTGATAGGCTGCTGGTTCACAAGGCTGCAGAAGGTGGTAAATCATCAGAGGATAGACTGCTGAATGGGTCCCAGGAATGAGAAATCAGATGAAGATGAACAAGATGTAGGATCCAGAGCAAGAGGGAGAAATTTTCCAGAACATTCATATATATTGGATGCAGACCATACCCTCAAGAAAACTAAGAGTGATGACTAATACGTTACTAGTAAGGTGGTGACTCAAGATGCATCCAACCCTAAAGGATTAACAAAATAGAACTCACTTCAAAATGAGACCATAACCATAGGCATAGAAGCTAAAATTTACAATACATTGCAGAATGGAGGGCTATCACTGTTGTTGTTGTTGTTATGTGCCGTCGAGTCGGCCCCGACTCATAGCGACCCCTCCTTGGGTTTCTGAGGCAGTATCACTACGGAAGTAGGATTGCCCAACCTTCCTTCCGAGGAGTGGCTGGTGGGTTTGAACCGCCAGCCATCTGGTTAGCAGGCAAGTGTCTTAGCCACTATGCTACCAGAGCTCCCATGGCTATCACTAGAAGGATCATATTAAATAATTCACTGTACCTAAGGCCAGTCCCTGGCTCTTCTAGCCATTGTTTTTTTCATACTTGAAGGATTAACTTCCCTCTCCCAATAATTTACCAGTCCAAATTAGTCCTTCAGGAGGGAAAAGAGTCCTAAGGGTAATATTATTCAGGTCCCAGCTATTCAAGTCTGCTGCAGGTGTCCATATGATGTAATCAGGTTGGCCAAAAGTTTGTCTTAGCTTCACTGCTTCTGGTCTCTGACAAAATTTAACTGAGAAAAGATTATTCCCTTGTCCTGACACTTTCTCAAGCTCTCAACATCATGGGTTTCCACCACTGCTTGTTATTGTTGTTAGGTGTCATTGGGTCAGTTCCAACTCATAGTGACACAACAAAATGAAACACTACCCAGTCCTGCACCATTCTCACAATCGTTGCTATGTTTGACCCCATCATTGCAGCCACTGTGTCGGTCCAACATGTTGAAGATCTCCCTCTTTTTGCTGACCCTCTACTTTACAGGCACAATGTTTTTCTGTGGAGACTAGTCCCTCTTGATAACTTGACCAAAGTACAAGAGACAAAGTCTCACCATCCTCCCTTCTAAGCAGCATGCTGGCTGTACTTCCAGGACAGATCTGTTCATTCTTCACCAACACCACAATTCAAATGTTTCAATTCTTCCTTGGTCTTCCTTATTGGTAGTCCATCTTTCACATACATATGAGGTGATTGAATATACTATGACTTGGGTCAGGTTCATCTCAACTTTCAAAGTGACATTTTTCACCTTAACACGTTAAGAGCTTTTATGCATCAGAATTGCCAAATGCAATATGCTGTTTGAATTCTTGACTGCTGCTTCCATGGTCATTGACTGTGGATCCAAATAAAATGAAATTCCTAACAACTGCAATTTTTTCTACATTTATCATGATGTTGCTTATTGGTCCACTTGTGAAGATTTTTCTTTTCTTTATGTTGAGGTGCAATCTATACTGAAGGCTATAGTGTTTTGTTTTTGTTGGTTTGGTTGGTTTTGGTTTTGGTTCTCTTTTATTTGTTTGCAGTGTTCCCTCCCCTCCCTACCCACCTCTGCTGATTCAACAAGGAAAATTTCCTTCCATATATAAACCTTTCCTTGACTTTTTACAATGACAGACTAATACAATATTTGTCCTTCTGTGATTGACTTATTTCAC